CAATAAATTTAAAATTTTTGTTACTTTTAATGGAAAGTGTTAATAAGTACAAGTATTTTGCAAGTTCAATTGTCAAAATCGGTCAATTTTTGAACAAGTTATACGCAATTAAAAAAAAAGCTTTTTCGGTCAACGGAAAAAATCGATTTTTACCGCAAAAAATAAAACGCCAAAAATCAACAAAAAAAGTTTTTTTTCGCCAAACAAAAAAATACGTGTCTCATTATTTTGACCAAAAAACAACATATTTAAGTTTCATAGAAAAAGAAAATCATGACCTGCGCGTACCGGTCGTTTTGAAATGGAAAGACCCTATTTAGGAATTCGCCAATTTCCTCATCATCATTAACTACCTCAAAACATATCCATTGGTTTATTATAACAGCAGATCACAAAACAAGAAACAAACAACGTAATAAACAATAAAGCAGAGAAAAATTAAGTTATATCAAGTTGAACTTCGTTTAAACGGCCAACAGTGACGGTTCATCTTTTGATTTAGTTTAAACCACAGACCTACAAACATTTGTTTGTTGGTCTGTGGTTTAAACCAAATTCAAGCTTGAACTTTAATTGAAAAACGGCATATTTTGTTTGAACCAAGTTCAAATGCTGAACCAAGTTTAAACTATGATTGAAAAACCGGCCCTAAATGTGAAAATTATTTTATTATCTCAATACAAAAGTATTAAATAGTTTCTTGACACCAATATTTGGAAAGATTACATAAACGTTTGTACTGACTTTTGTATTTCTTTGTAGTTGTGCAGTTAACCAGATTTAACTGATAGAGCGTTAAAAAACAATGCCCCTAAAACATTTTCTTTTTTTTACTGTGAAAAAATGATTCTATATCGTTTGTTAGTCTATTTTCAAAGGATAAAATTTAATTTACAAATAAAAATTGGAGATTTTAACGCCGGTAGATTCCCAAGTTAGAAATTCTAACGGGAATTCCAATAAATACAACTGTCACATTTTTTGGTACCTTTAACATTTTCCGTGTAATTTTTAATACTTTGTTTTAATATTTTGCAGTAAAAGTAATAAAAAAATCAAGGGATAAAATATAATCTTAACATAATCCTATTTTAAAGTATCAATAATTGTTAAAATAATAACGGACAATATTAATGGTCAAAATGTTTATTGGTATGGTTACTTTATTTTTGTATAGATGTCGCGTTATACAAATATTTAATTTAAATCATTTTTTAGATAATAATAAGTATTTGTCGTAGAAAAAGTATAGTATGAAACTTGTTTATAAATTTTTCTAGGCACTCATTTAATTAAGCACTCGCTCCCAAGCTCGCTCGTGCATAAATCAAGTTCGTGATTAAAAGGGCGTTTATTAAACTTAATACATAATATACTATTAGCACGCATCTATAGTAAGACTTTTTTGTAAACAAAACCTTATACCGACCATTATTTGAAATTAAAAAAAATGTCACGGTACTTTTTGTTTTAGATGAAACCTAACAAAATTCCAAATAATAAGGAAACGGTGCCCTTAAAGGGTACCGACCAGGACCCAAAAAACCCAAACCTAAAAATATGAAAACATCGCTCGAACAACATCATCATATTTAACCCTCTGTGTGTCCCACTTTCACTATGTGTTTTATAAATGTTTACTACATGTGAAAAAGATGTTAGGTTAGAAATAAATGTGGTCCTGACAAAAAAAAACAAAACGAAAACCCTGGGATGCGAAAAAAATAAGTCTACTGCCGGACCAAATAGTCTAGCCTGAAAATACCGCCACTATTTATAAGCTACTCTTTTTGGATTGCTTCGGAAATGTACCCGAGCAAATATGCAATAATAGGTTTAACCAATCATCATCGAAAAAAATCAGAACGCGACACCAAGCATATCCACCATTATTGTTCCTGCCATCTTGCGCACGGTGCACTTGTGAAGCAATGAATGCTCAGGACTTGGTCAGAATAAATTCGAAGATTTTAACTAAGATCAATCAAGTTTTATATTGTATTCGCTAAAATGGCTTAACATCACCTACGTATTTTATAAAGCTCTATGAAGATCAGACGATGAAATCTTGGAATTAAAATTGGGAAAGGACTCTATGTGTAGACTAATAAAAGTATAAAAATGTAACAATGATGTTTTATTTTAATCCTTCCTGACAATATTCTTTTTAAAAAGTTCCTAGTTAAAGAATGTGAAGATTAGGAGCTAAAATAAATAAAACAAAAAGAATTGAAACTTTAATCTCGGTATTTTGTTTTTTAAAAGGTTATTTGTAGAGATGGGAATCGGAAAGTTTCCATTTTAAGGAAACTTTCCGTTTTGGAAAGTTTCCAATTGGAAATTTATTTTCATTTTGAAAGTTTCTTTAAAGCTACCGGAAACATTCCTTGGAAACTTTCCTTGTTTTTTTAATTTAAATGTCAATTGTTTAACCGCTGATTTTCGTTAAGGCCAGGATACAAGGCCAAGAAACTTTGAATAAGATTTTAATGTGTGTTAATTTAAAGCATAAGAAGAAGTATAAATAATGTAAGTTATGTTACATATCCTCAGTGAAAATCCTATTTTGTTTTTTACTTTTGCTATTTTTTTATGTGCAATGGTAGTCACTACTAGTCAGAAATGTTAATTTTATTTTTTCTTTCATATTTTATCAGTCAAAACTGCAATACTATTTTTAGTATCTTTTACTTTTCAATATTCCTATATATTAGTTACTTTGTCCCTTTTAATTTTTTTTACATAATATCTAGGATTTACTAGCAGTGAATTTCTAATAGTAAACATTTTATTTTTATTTTGTAGGTTTCAGTATACAATAGGAATATTCCAAAGTAAAAGATACTAAAATAGTATTGCAGTTACATTCTTATAAACATTTTTTTTTCTTAATAAAATTAGACAAAAAGTTAATGTGGTATATAATATTATTTTTGGTATAAAAAAATATTTTCACTATAAAAATTTTTTTTTTAAACTTTCGGAAAATTTCGGAATTTTCGATGGAAAGTTTCCGGGAATTTTCGTCAAATGGGAATTTTCCCATCTCTAGTTATTTGTATTTAGTTTAAAAATAGTTGGAAGAAATATAATACATAATGTGTGTCCATAAATAGCGAAAAAGTTGACATTATCAAATAATAAAGGTAAGATTAGAAAATCAAAACGAGAAAAAATTGCGTTTTTTTGCTAATTCCAGTTTCTGTTAAGCACTTGCTATTGCTGGCAATGTGACTTTATTTCCATTTACGATTTTATCAAGTGTATTTGATCTCAATATTATATCAACCTGAAGTTTCCATACTTTCCATTTCCATTTTTTCACAACTAATTAACGACAAATTAACGGCAAATTATGCACCTAATCGGTTCTTGATTGGCGATGGATGGCTTTGCTAACTTCATGTTCATAAATTTTGGTTATAAAGAACGTAAGGGAATGATAAAACAATAAAAACAAATATTTGTTTCACTAAATAGTAATATTACTTAGGTATGTACCTACTATAATTTCTGGAGAAAAAAAATATAAAATAATAATAAAATATTTTTAATTTAAATATAGGTGCAACTATTTTATTTCAAACTTTGGTATTTTAATTGAAACATTAAAAAAATATATTATCATCATGATGATATTGATGATATTGCAATGATGATAAAATTTCAAAAAAAAAAAATAATTTATCTTATACATAATTAATTGCCTATCTGAGTAGCTACCTACTTATTTAGAAATAACCAAATTGTAGCCTACAATTTGTAGGTATTGTTAAGAAACTTAAATTATTATAATAATGTTATCGTATAAGTAAATCTTTCTTTCCTCTTTTCTCTTCCCTTTTAAAGTAGTAAAGATTGTTTAGTTGGTATACGAAAAGAAAAATAGGCACAGCATTTTTCTGCTCTAAAAATTGTTACCAAACTTAATAATAAATGTTGTAAAAAAATAAGTGTAATGATCATAAGTACTGGCGGATCCAGGATTTTGAGAAGGATGGGTCCACAAAAATGTCTGTCCTTTCTTTCAAACATATAATGTACTTTTTTTTCCTAACAGAATTTTTTTTTCCTAAAAGAATTTTTTATGGCCCATGTTGAAATGTTAATTTTCTTTCATTAAAAAAATACAGTCAAGTTTCCCCCCAGACCTTTAGTAAAACACGTAGGATTTTATTATTTTCCAAGTCTCCCATACATTATTTAAGATCATTTAAGAAGAAATAATAAAAAATATGTTTTGTAATCCATGATTCTCATCAGTCAAAAAAATAAAGGATTAAATCTATATGTTATTCCTATCCTACCTACTAAAAACACTTTTAACTTTTCAATTAAAAATGCTGTATTAAATTTATAAAATAATTATCTCGATAATTATAATTATTTTAATAAAAATTCATAATTTCCTAAATTATTGTGTAAACGCTTCAGAGATTAAGTAGGTATTATACTAAAGTCAATGTTTTTTAATGTAAGTATCCAACATTTTTGCTTATTTAGATTTAAATTAGTTGTTCTGATTTAATTGTTAAAAAATGTTTTTTAAATCAAAAAACAAGCTTTAAAATTATTCATAACATTATACATAAAAAACATAAGAAAAACTAAAATGTTATTAAAACAACAATACTTATAGGTAAATAATATTTTTGTTAATTTACTTATTGGTGGAATTATGCAGCACAAATTAATATTAACGTTAACATTAAAAAGTTAAGATGAATATAATACATTGGAAGCATTTATGTTAAATTAATCTTAATGTTAATGTTAATTTGTGCTGCATAATTCCACCATATAATAACCTAAATATAAACAATATTTATTTTTATTTTGATTGCTTTTAAAAATCCTATTGGATTTACATTAGAAAATATAAAAAATATTTTGTAAAATGTAAATCCAGTAGGATTTTTAAAAACACAGTTTTAGATAATGATGATGTTCCTATAATTTAAAATCATATCTATATTATTAATACATAGTTAATGACTTACATGAATATTCTTCAGTAAACCCTTAAAAACTATGTCCAAAACTATCTTCTAAACATTTTCTCTTGCAAAATCCTTTAGAAAACCCAATTTCAAAACAAGTTTAATTCACAAGATCGCACTAAAACGCCGGTGGTGTGTCACTAAAAACGTCAATTATTGACAGCGTTGAACAGGCTTACAAACTTAGCGGCAACGTAAGCAACGCGATCGTAATTGCCATGAGTCCACGGCCACACTGATGCAGCTCAGCTGTTTTCGCTTGTATACGCTTTCGCTATCGTACGGTCTGTGACAGATGATAAAGCAGGATGAAAAGCGCCGGAGAAAGAGTGGGAGATACTGAAAAGGGGCTTCAAAAAGCTCAGCCTCTGTGATCGATTCCAGTTTTAACAAGACCTGAGACCTTTAAATTTTAAAGGGGAGAATTAGCTCGTATGTAAACATGTGTTACGTGGGGTGTTGATAACATTTTAATGAAAGGGTTTTTGATACACTGAAAATGATATTTTTAAAATATAGGTTGTGATGGTACTAATTAGTATTAATAAATATTGTGTTTTTCATTTAGTACATTAAAAAATATAGTAAGGGAGGTAGTAAGTTTAATTGAATTTAAACCTTCCCAGTATTGTCAAAAACCGAATTAGATTTTCCCTTTTTTGAGTATTATAATAATGAAAATATTATTAAACTGCATGAATTGTTATCATAATTCTACAATTTAAAAAAAATTACTTATAAAAATTAATTAAAAATTAAATTAAGTTTACACAAAATTTAGAAATTAAAATCAAACTCAAATACTTATACAACATTTGTAGTAAAAACAGGACAAGTTTGAAAATATTTGCACACTTGTTTAATCATGAAAACACAACATTCACAATACAAATTTATGCTTTTTATATTTAAATATCTTCAAACTTGTCCTGTTTTTTACTACAAATGTTGTATAAGTATTTGAGTTTGATTTTAATTTCTAAATTTTGTGTAAACTTAATTTAATTTTTAATTAATTTTTATAAGTAATTTTTTTAAAATTGTAGAATTATGATAACAATTCATGCAGTGTAATAATATTTTCATTACTATAATACTCAAAAAAGGGAAAATCTAATTCGGTTTTTGACAATACTGGGAAGGTTTAAATTAATATATTGATGACCTATTAAATGACAAGAACAAGTAATTATCTCTATCCTGTAAATAGTTACAGGACCTAAAAGTTTAAAAGTGGACCAGTCACCCAAGTTTACAGTATAAACACAGTAAAAAAAAATTTGTTAATTTTAACCAAATTTTATGTTAATTCAGGTCTACATACGAGGTGTGTTCAGAAAATAATTGTTAAATTTATGTTGGTATACATGCCCCCGAAGTATGATAAAAACTTTAGCTGTTTTCATTGTTTACTTTGTCTGTGGCAGCCGCTAAGGTTAGACGTGTTTTATGAGCTCGGCGATTTTTCGTTCGTTAAAAGAAATGGATCAAAGAATTTGTATCCAATTTTGCTTAAAAAATTAAATAAATTCTGTGAAATGTTAACAAAGGCCTATAGTGAGTTTGCTATAAGTAAAACAAGAGTTTACAAGTGGTATAAGAGTTTCCAAGATGGCCGTAATGACGAACGCCCCGAACGCACAAGCACATTAACAACCTATAAAAACAAGGAAAAAGTGGAAGAAATGGTTATAAACCATCAGAGAAGTCGCTGATGATGTTGGTATATCGATTGGCTCATCCCATGAAATTTTTTCGAATGTTTTGGGTATGAAACGCCTGGCAGCAAAATTTCTTCCAAATTTTGAACAACATTTTTGGCCAAAAACAATACTGTAATGATGCCCCAGCATCCATATTCGCCAGACATGCCTCTGTCTGACTTTTTCCTATTTACAAAAATAAAGAGAACCTTAAAGGGCCGTCGTTTTGCAAGCATAGATGACATTAAAAGCGCATCGCTGAAAGAACTAAAGGCTATCCCAAAGATCGAGTTTTAGAAGTGTTTCGAGTATTGGAAGAAGAGCTGGCACATGTGCATAATATCCAATGGGGACTATTTTGAAGGCGACATTAATGTAGACAAATAAATAAATATTTGTTTCAAAAAACGAAAATTACCGATATTTTCTGAACACACCTCGTATTTAATAACAATATCCTATATCAATAATTGAACCATAATTATTGTAATTTTCCAAAAGGACCCTTATTTTACAAACCTTTTTATATACCTACCTAGTAAAAAAAGTATTTGTTAGAAATTGGGAACTTAAATAAAAGGAATTTTGCTTTATTAATCAATTTCCTAAAGAAAAAAAATACCACATAACATACATAAATGAACACAAAAATAACATACCTACACACAATTAAATAACACACCTTTCTGAAATGAAATATTATAATTGAAGGGGTTAGAATAGAAAGGGTATAAGTGCAATTTCTTTAATTTAGGAGATAAGTTCGTTTTGTGAAAGATAAGGTTCCGACGTATCGAAATGAAAAGGATTTAAGTAATTTTCATACTTCTAGGGACCTCTATTATCCAGTAGAAAAACATTACTAAACAAAATTCTTCACTTTTTTATGGTAACATAACTTTAACTTCAAATATCTCCAAAAAATGAAAATGTTACTTATACCCTTTTTATTCTAACCCCTTCAATTACATTTATTTGAGGACTAATTATAATAAAGCTAATCTTACATTTCCAAGATTTTTTTTCAGAAAATTTCCTGTACCTACTATTGAAAATTTTTCATACTGAATTTATTCACAGCTACTTAATTATGAATATGAATAAATCAGAAGAATGGCAGTTACTGTAGGTATAATTAAAAACAAATAGATGAGCTGTTCCGCCTTTGATTCGTGGGCCTAGATAAATATTTATGAGACCAGATGATCTTCCCGCTCACTATTTCACCGTTTACACCATTATTTACTCCTTGAAACAATAATTATTGGCATTACCTACCGTGTGCGACAATTACATCATTTTGTTGGTACTTATCCTGGTTTGTTTGATGAATTTATTCATTTTTTTCTTCCCACATTGAAAACTCCTTTCTATTTTTGAAAATGATTATTTTCTGCTACAATTTTATGTAAAAATCAACAAAAATTATTTGTGAAATATTTTTTTTAATCATATATTATATCACGAGAACTATGAATTTAATCGGTTAAACTAGGTTCAGTAGTTTTTTGTTTGGTTTTTCTTGGAAAATGTTGAATGCAAAATAATTTAATAAAATCACGAGAACGCGTAGCGGTCAAGGGGTTTTATTTTTAATTATTTTGCATGAAACTATTTTCCAAAAAGAAAAATCAAATAAAAAACTTACTGAGCATAGTTTGACAGAATTAAATTTATAGGTTGAGTGATAAACGTCTAGATTATTTCTCGAATTAAAGGAAACTATTTGACAATTTGACAATTCATAAAATCTGAGGTATGTATCAAAATTTATAAATATTTTTTTAAAGAAAATTCCATTAATTTAAGGTATGTAATAACTTATTAACTTATTACTAATAAGTAATAATTGATATTTCGTAAACTAGATAACTCATTTTTTATTGTTTTTTAAAAAATGTTTGTTAAAACTTGTAAATAACACCATAAAATCGTAAACAAAAATCCAATATGGAGGCTAAAATTTAATCGCTGTTAAATAGTTCTAGTGATTTAATCGCTTATTTAAACGAAATTTATTCGAAAATTCAAGGCTTTTGATTGGTTCATATTATAATGAGGGAAATAATCATATATTATATCACGAGAACTATAAATTTAATCGGTTAAACTAGGCTCAGTAGTTTTTTGTTTGGTTTTTGTTGGAAAATGTTGAATGCAAAATAATTTAATAAAATCATGAGACCGCGTAGCGGTCGAGGGGTTTTATTTTTAATTATTTTGCATGAAACTATTTTCCAAAAAGAAAAATCAAATAAAAAACTTACTGAGCATAGTTGGACAGATTAAATTTATAGGTTGAGTGATATACATCTAGATTATTTCTCGAATTAAAGGAAACTATTTGACAATTCATAAAATCTGACGTATATGTCAAAATTTATAAATATTTTTTTAAAGAAAATTCCATTAATTTAAGGTATGTAATAAGTAATAATTGATATTTCGTAAACTAGATAACTTATTTTTTATTGTTTTTTAAAAAATGTTTGTTAAAACTTGTAAATAACACCATAAAATCGTAAACAAAAATCCAATATGGAGGCTAAAATTTAATCGCTGTTAAATAGTTCTAGTGATTTAATCGCTTATTTAAACGAAATTTATTCGAAAAATCAAGGCTTTTGATTGGTTCATATTATAATGAGGGAAATAATCTTCTTTAAATTTAATAAATACCCATAAGCTAGTAAAACTTTAGAATCTTGAAGTCTCTATAGAGACTATAGTTTTAAGAACTGAACTGAACAAGATATAAAATATTTTGAGGAAAGGTCCCTTCTAGAAACCTTGAACTTTAAACTTGCATGTTTTGTTTCGTAACAAACTGTTTTTTTATAGCAATTGTTTTTGTTTTTAATAAATATTTATGTTCTTAATTGTTTATTTTTATGAATTCGTCACTTTTTCGCTAGATTATGTAAATTATAGTCCGACTTTTCAGCGTTGGCGTATTTGCATAACATTTAAGAATGTCCATAGATCAAACAACATAAATACACAGGTGGTAATATATTTAAATTGTATTATAAAATTATGATTACTGTTTACATTTTCTCGGAATTGTCACTGTTTATGTACTTAATGCTTACTGTATTGCATTGTTGTTTATAAATTTATAAATTTGTATTCGTTTAGGGACTGACCGATTACAATAATTTGTTTATAAACATTACAAGTTAACGAACAAAAAATTATATTTTAATTTAAATATTATAATAATACAAATATTATAATATTTCAAGAGGAAAATGTAATAACAATATGATGTTCAACAAAAGATTTTAAAATTGTACATATTTTAAAAATGAAATACATTGTGACTCATTTGTTTGCGACTCATCCCTGAAAAATCTTTATTTTTCTTTAACCGGATTTGTTTTAGTGTGAATCTTGATAAACTGTATTTTTGGAGCAAAAACCGCCATATTTTTACAAAATACAAGGCCTACTATGGCAGTATTTGAGAGTAAATTTTTAAGAATTTGATTTTAGGAATCTTCTAAGAAGATATGACCCGGAATAATGGAATATTCTTAGAACCTTC